TTACTTGACATTATTCCCTTGCTGCTTTTACAATTCTTTCTTTGTTCTGTATATTTAATGTTTTGATTGTTATGTGGCAAGAGGATTTTCTTTTTTTGTCCAATCTATTTGGTGTTCTATAAGCTTATTGTACCTTTATAAGCAGCTCTTTCTTTAGATTAGGGCAATTTTTCTTCTATGTTTTTGTTGAAGATGTTTTCTGGGCTTTTGAGCTGGGAATCTTCTTCTATTTTTATTATTCTTGCATTTGGTCTTTTCAGATTTTTCCAAATTTCCTGGATATTTTTTGTCATGAAATTTTTAGATTTTTACATTTTGACTGATGTATTGATTTCTTCTATGGTGCCATCTACACTTGAGATTCTGTCTTTCATCTCCTGTATCTGGCTAGAAATGATTATGTATGTAGTTCCTGTTCTCTTCCCTAATGTTTTCTGTTTCCAGAATTGCCTCAGTTTGTGTTTTCTTTATTGCTTCTATTTCCATTTTCAGGTCTTGGACAGTTTTATCTATACCTTCACCTTTTTGATTGTATTTTCCTGTATTTCTTTATATTTATTTGCTTTCTCTTTTAATGCCTCTACCTGCTTGAATATATTTTCCTGTATTTTCTAAGGGATTTATTAATGTCCTCTTTAATGGCCTCTATCATCTTTATAGAATTTGATTTAAGATCCTCTTCTGCTTTAGTTTCATTAGGATATCCAGGGTTTGTTTTAGCATGATAGCTGGGTTCTGATGGTGCTGTATTACCCTGTGTCTTCCTGATTGTATTCTTAAGCTATCCTTTAAGAATCTGATTTTCTGTGGTATTGGCTGGATGATTCTGATAGCAGCATAACTTCTCAAGAAGGTGCGAGGAACAGTGGGATAGATAATGGAGGTCAGGGTACCCCACTCTGTTGACTGTACCTCAGGCAGGCCACACTCTACGGGTTGTGTCATAGGGAAACCCTACTGTGCAGGCCGTGGACCAGTCAGCCCCAGGTGGAGTGGTGGTCAAATACAACTAGGATGGTTGCTGGGGCATGGTTCCAAGCTGGTTAGTTTTGGGGTCCCAGAGGTTTCCAATAAAAAGGAGGATGGTCTTGGGGGTTCCACAAGCCTCCTCTGAACTGAGGAGCAAAGCCAGAGCTAGACTATGGGACTTGGAGATAGGATTCTTTCCTTCTTCTATTCCTAGGTTTGGTCTTTTTATAATGTCCCACATTTCCTGAATGTTTTGTCTCAGAACATTTTTTAGATCTAATAATTTCTTTGACCTATATATATCAAATTCTTTTGTATCTTCAAAATCTGAGGTTTTCTCTTTTATTTCTTCTATTATGCTGGTGAAATTTGCAGCTGTAGTTTCTGCTTGAATTCCTAAATTTCTAATTTCCAGAATCCCTCAGTTTGCATTTTCTTCATTGACTACATATTCATTTTCAGGTCTCATGAAGTTTTATTTATTTCCTTCCATAGGGTTTTGTTTGTTTCTTTGTGTGTGTGTATTTCCTGGATTTCTTTAAGGGATTCATTTATTTACTCCAAGTTTTGTTTACTGCATTTCTTAAGAGATTTTTTTAACTTTCTCCTTAAGGACCTCTATCATCTTCATACAGGAAGTTGCAAGGTCTAGTCCTTATGCTTCAGCTAAGTTGGTATATTAAAGACTTGCCATGATAGGATAGCTGGGCTCTAGTGGAGATATATTGTCTTGGATGTTCGTGACTGTTTTTGTGCTGGCATCTAGTTTCTGGGACTGGAGTGATTATAGGTCTAGGTGATGTTTTCTGGATTTGTCTTTATTGAAGTTGATATTTTATTTCTTGAATTTTGCTTTTTTCCTTGATTTTTAGAGAGTGCAATGGCTGTGTTTTCCTCATAGGGAACTTTCTTTGGACCTGATAGTTGTGGTGGTTGGAGGTTCTAGATAAATGTGTTTCTGGGTACTGGTATCTTATACTTAGGAATGAGGGGATAGGCAGAGTTCTGAAAGGGTTCATAGGGTGGAGTAGAACAGAGCACTAACCAGGGTCTGTTAATTTTGTCTCATTGGAATCTGGGAAACATTAAGAGATTCACCCCAGGGGTTCTTCTATAGCACCAGGGATGAGACTGGGAACCTGGATCTGAAGGAACAGAAGAAAGTTGGGGAGATCTTCAGTCAGCTTACCTGCTTCCTTGTGAGGAGTGTTTTGTGAGTTATCAGAGAATGCTTGATGTAATTAGGGTTTGAGCTAAAACAGCAAGTGGGGAGAGGGATGTTAAGTGAGGATGCTCTGTGGGATGCACAGTAAATGCAGCAGGGAGGAAAGGCTGCAGATGGTGTTCTGCTCCAGCACTATGGATGAGACTGGGGGGACTCTATCTGAAGAAGTAGAAGGAGAGGCATGGATATGCCTTCCGCCTACTTGTTGCCCAAGTTCTATTGTCAGCGTACTATTTCAGACAACTCTAAACGAGTGCAAGGATAATGTCTTCTATCACTGTATCTCATTTCATGTTTTATTACAAGGCAAAGAACATACACCAGGGGGCAGCAAATCTTTCTGTAAAGGGTCATATTATTCCTGATTCATTCTTTCCTTCACTTCCCTTTCCCTTTCCCTTCCCCTCCCCTCCCCTCCCCTTCCATCCCCTCCCCTCTCCCCTTTCCCCTCTCTTTTTCCCTTTCTTTCTTTCTTTCTTTCTTTCTTTCTTTCTTCCTTTCTTTCTTTCTTTCTTTCTTTCTTTCTTTCTTTCTCTCCCTCACACAATATTTCCTAAGTCTTTGATGTGTGAGTATTTTGTAGATGTGTCCATTGGGACTAGGCTCTACAACTTGTATTCTCATTGATTGTGGTTTTATGAATGGCTGCAAAGAGACATTTTGTTGATGATAGATGATGCCTATACTTATCCATGACTATAAGAACAATGTTCATATAGTACTGTCAGGGATTGTGCTGATTTAGTAAATTATTGCTTGTAGATTCTTCTCCTTCTACAAGTATGATTTCACTAGTACTGAGTAGTTACCTAGGTTTCCAATACTAGACACAGCATCTGTCTTGTTGAGCATCTCTTATGTCCAATTAGAGACCCATTGGCTATCACCAAGGTAAACCATCACTACTGAAGACACTATGCACATGGGCACAAAGACCCATGATCTGGAATATATATGAATGCCTGGAGAGGTAGTTTTCTTGGTTTTATGTTTGACATATATTTTGTTATTTATTTATTTATTTAATATTTCTTCATGAAATAATATGGGGGTTTAAAAATAGGTCCTAGTGATTATTGTAGATTTTATAGACATCTGCTGTAATGTCTCCTTTCTTGTTTCTAATTTTATTAATTTAGATTGTCTTTTATTTTCTTGTAATTTGGCTAAAGATTTACAATTTTGTTTATTTTTTCAAAGAACAAATTTTGGTTTCACTGATTTTTTTTCACATTTTAGAAAAAAGAGACTCTCTAATAGTCATTCATTCACGTAATGTGCTTTGATCACATTCACTCACTATAGTTTCTTCTTCAATTTCCCCTTATCCTTCTTCTTGCCTTTTCCTCCAAATGGCATCTGTTATCCTTATTTTAAAAAAGTTTCTATTATCAACTGAGTCCCGTCATTGTATGTGGCGTGTGGGTAGCCTACAAGGGTTCACTTCTCTGAACAAATGTGCTCCCCCCTCCTCAATAAACCATCAATGTTCAGTAGCTTCTCAGATGGGGTGAAACTTCCTTTGTGCCTCTCATATATATGCTGGGATCTTTGCTGGCTTGATTTTCTGTAAATCTTATGCATACTATCCCAGACACTATGACTATTCACTCTTCTCACTGAAGATAAAAAAGACCAAATGTATAGAAGCAGAGATTTAAAAAGGAGCAGAAAAGTATTCACTGAAAAAATTGGAAGGAAGAGGGAAGGAAAGATAAAGATAAGGTGGATAATGTTTGGTCCATCTAATTGAGAGGAAATTACTCTACCTATACTGTTACAGTCTAACACAAGTAGCTAGAAACTTCCAGTTGTCTCCAGAGGATTCATAGAAATTATTGAATATGTTTCAACTGAGTTACACTGATTGTGTGTGTGTGTGCATTTTTGCACATGTAAACTGAATTAAAAATTGTTCCCTAAAGGACAAATATTATGCCTTGGTTAAATGAAAGGTTTAAGTAAAATTCAAAAGCAAAGCAATTTAGATTTCATCTTTTCCCTTACACATTTTAGTCAAGCTTAACTCCAATAAAGGAGTATGAAAGATACAGGCTATCAGAAGTTGGAGTCAAATCTGCATAGGTCAGTTGCATTATCCACTTAGGACATAGGCTAAGAGTAGCACTAAATGTTCGAGCCCATGTGTATAAAGCTATATATGAATATATGTGAATACATACATACATACATACACACATACATACATACTATTTTTCATTCATTCATGCCTATGGCCTAGTTTAGTGCATCAGGTAATATGCTCAAGGTTTGACAACAATAAACCATAACACCATAGGACAATGCTTACAAAGAATTATATCAAAATGCTTCTCTTGCCACTTGTGTATGTTGAGGTACTAAAGATTCTGGAAGTGTCACCTGAACCACAGTCCTGTGATGACCTTGATGTTTCTGATACAGTAACAGGGAAGTTAGTACATAGTTGAGGTGTTAGACAGGGGAGAAGCACAGCTCATCACAACGCTGTGGAATAACACACTGTGCCATCACAATTCACAGAGAATTGAAAGTTCATAAATTCATGATGTTTGAAAAGTGTCAAACCCAGAAATGTTCATATAATCTTTTAGACCAAGGTTTCTGGTATGTAGAATCCTGTAAGCAGGTTATGACCAAAATGGAATAAAGCCCATAACAGAAGAGCTACTCACTCTTCTCAAAGGCCACCACCATGCTCAGTACTGTCTTCAAGATAAGTTACTTGTTTGATCACATGCACACGCACTCACACACACATGCACACACACACTCACACACATGCACACACGCACACAAACACTTTGCAAAACAGAAAGAAGCTACAAACTATATTTCAATCTAACCTTTTAAAAGATACCACTTGCACAATCACTAAAACTGAAAAATCAAATTTCTGCAGGAATCATGAAGAGACATCAGTACAGAATTTAATTGCGGTATTTGCCATGTTGTAGAACAAGCAGGTTCCAGATTCCACACCACATGGCAGCTTTTTAGCTACTCAACTGTTGAAAGCACTCAGGAGAGACTGGTTACTGTGAAGTAGAAGGCACTAAACACTGTCTCCACCATGCCCTCCTTTGTGACCAACAGGCAGCTCAGAATATATTGGGGAAGCTGGCAAGTGAAGCAATTCCACAGTGGTTGTTGCGATCTTTGGCAATCTTCATGTAGCCATTCATGCCCCATTCTTCACCCCAGCTGAAAGGAAATGTGTATTTCATTAATTATAAAGAACATGAACTTACTGCAACAGCTGGCAAGAGGTCAACGTAACAGAAGGAGCAAAAAAAGTTGAAGACCTGCTCCTAAGTACCAAGAGGCACCTCACACCAGGACTGTGAAGACTACAGCAGAGAAAGGGTGTTTCAGTGCTAATACATGTGCGAGATTTTAAAAAAGCAATGACACAAAATAACACTGACAACCAAGAAACCAGTGATAGAATGGGAAGGTTATGATCACACATATGTGAGTAGGTTCTCCAAGCTGTAGGAGAGCTCAGAGATTAAGGACTGGATACCAATGTAAAGAGCTGTTTAAAAGCCAGATTAACACAGTAGTGTCCCTACAGTACAAGTCCTACAGATATAGGGACAGATATACCTGTAGGAAGCTGGCTAGCCAGTCTAGACCCTAAACTCCTAGATCAGTGAGACACACTGCCACAATATAGAAGATGGATAATGATTAAAAGACAACTGATGTTAACATCAGGTCTCAATTGCACATATAGATGTTCATAGACATGCAAGCATGCATGCATGCATGTACACATACCTCATTTATGTACATAAGAAAACAGGAATAGACTTTGTTCAATTTAAGTGGGACAATGTTTTCTAGGCTGTATACTTAAACATTGACTGCAGGAAATAATCCATCTGTGAATACTCTGGAATGGCACCCAGTGTTCTTAAACATTGAACCATCTCTTCAGCCCCTAGAATTTCAAATATAAAAATGTTGGCAATTATACCTGTTCTTGATGAGCCAGTAGTTATTGCCATCTGTTACATTTCCCTCATATCCATAGCCAACGATCAGAACTGCATGATTCACAGAATAGCTGCTGCAATTTGGCTCATGGTAAATGCCTGAGAAATAAAATGGAAGCTGACATGAGACGCAAAGTATACAGGACAGTGAGCACTGCCACCAATAATAGGGAGGCATTGTCGAAGATTCCTGAAATGATGCAAATCACAATCAGATGTAAGAATAAAATGAATTGGCCTATTAGCTTAGACAGGAAGTAGGGAGGTGAAGTTCTGGTACAGATAGAAGACTTATGGGAAAATTGTTAGGCACAGGAAGATTCATTCAAGACACAGAAGAAGACAGTCATATGAAACCGGGGATCAGGTAACCAGTCACATGACAGAAGCTACAATAAAATAAACAGGTAATTAAGATATGAGCTAGTCAGTGAACAGGTCTAAACACTTATTAATATATAATTAAGTCTCAGAGCCATTATTTTGAGGAACTTGGAAAGCTTGACATTATACCTAGGTGCATATAAAAATATTTAATTTTTTTCACTAGAATCCCATACCAAGTAAAAGTCCCTAAATAGAAGTTACTTAATTCAAGAGACTCATTAATAATTTGATTTCAGATGTACAGTCTCCACAAAAAATCTAAAGCATCCACCAAATTGGGGATAGTTTAAAAATAAGCTAAACATAAATTTTACAACATACGATGTACTTACTTTCATGAGAGGGTCATAGCAGTTAAAGACAGGACTCAGTATGAATGGGTAGGGAAGGCAAACGAGAAACCCAAACTCACATACAATCTTATAGATAAGAGCATAGCATGGCATGGCATCAGGATGTCACAAGATTTTTCCTTTTTTTGACATCTAGAAGGAAATATGCTTACCTCCATTGTAGAAGATGAAAGAGTCATGAGAAGCATCAACTGCTGCAGAGATGGGCCCAATAGATGCTACAGCAACCGATAGGTAAATCTCATTTGGAGGGAGCTTCACAAAATCTGTGATATAAGCACTGGCATTCTCACTATTGTACCTGCAGGGTCCTTCCTTTAAATAGTAAAGAGATAAGAGACTCAGTCACTGACACCTGCCTTCTGAGGAGTATGAATCAGAACCACAGCACTGCTGAACATCTCCATGTCTGGACGGCTATAAGTCATCCCAGGAAGTGAAATAAACTGAAAGACCTGGAACTGAGGATCAGTTCTCTTGCCTTCAATGACACCTCACAGGTTTCCCTGTCCATAAGAAACTTTTATAGGGGGAAATCTTCATTATATATGGAAAAGTCTGTATATTTTCCATGTGCATGGAAGCTGGGACAGCTGTCTTCATGCTTAAGGGTGTCTCTATGCTTAAGGGTGAGATATAATGACAAAATAGGAAGTCTACTTACTTTTTCTTCATATGGATAGGTTGCCTCAGCCTCCAGACCTTTATTTTCAAAAACATACTCGAATGCTTTGTTTGCAGTACCCCAATGGCAGCCATTATTTCCTACAGTTTTAGAACAGTCCAGTAGGTTCTGCACACTTAGAGGGGTGAGGTTGCCAGTTTTAGAGAACATTTGACCTTCTATGGCACCAGCAGCAGCAAAAGCCCAACAAGAGCCACATTTACCCTGAGTTGGTTAGAAAATATTGTCATACATAAATAAATATCAATGCCAGCAACAACATAGACAGCACAATAACTTATGGAAATGATGTATTGGCAGTCACTAGATGCCAAGGAAAGGATGGTACTCTCCTAGAGGTCAGTTTTTTCATCCCCCAATGGTGTTCACACACAGGAACATTTGAGCAGGACCCATTGGTTTTATGGGTTATTAATGATAACAGAAACAACAAATGGACTAAATTCCAGAGACAGATGTGGTAGAGGACAATCTCTAGAGAGAGTGTGTATGTGGTAGATTGCTAGGATAAATTTCCATTGTACATATGTAAGAAGTTTTTATAGAAGAATAAATGAACTGCACATCTCTCCACACTCAACACCCACACAAAGATATCAAGTAATTTATTTTCAAAGTGGTTTAAGAACATCGGCTATGTGCCACTGTCTTACCTGATTCCGTACAGGAGTCACATAGCCTTCCTTTCTCCAATCCTTAAAATCGGGTAAATCATTAGACACCTGTTTCTGGGCACTTGGATCTGTCACAGCAGCCGGAATTAGAATATTGTTCATTGATTTTCTGAATTCGTCACCAGTCTTCAAGGAAAATAACATTAATATGAAACAAGGCCACACACACACACACACACACACACACACACACACACACACCACAGTCCATGTAAAGCACTTAAGAGAACACAGCGTGAAGCAATCCATGTCACACTCACCATGTCAGCGAAGGCATTCATTTTCATGGTGAAGCCATTCTTCCCCAGGCCATTCTCCATGTTGTGAAGTTCGATCATTTTCATGTTTTCTTCCCATACTGCTCTCTTCAGTTCTTCTTCCTCCTGTAAATGAGCATAATGGATGCCATTTCTTTCTAAACTCCTAGAGAAGCTAGGTGCAGTTACTGCTGCAGGTGAATAGAGACCAAGAAGAGTAGTCTCAGTATACTATTCCCACACATTCTTCTCATACCGAGTAAAACAGAATATGGTCACCCTATGCTCACAATTACTGTGGTTAGATAATCTCACAGTGATGGTGTGTGTGTGTAGGGGCTCTGTGATCCATAATGTGTCTAGACACTTGCAGCAGCAATGGCAATTGACTCTTAGGCCCTTCTGCACAGTTTTCAGTTTACTGACCGGGCTGTATGATTTTGCATATTTAATCTTCCAGGCTTTCCATTCAGCATCCAAATTGGGATCACGTGCTGGGGCACCTGAGGCCACTCCGAAGCACAGGATCACCAGAAAGACAGCAGGAGTCATGTCTCAAAAACCTGGAGAGGAATGAGAGATGAAGACATGACTATACCAATATTGTATAAATGTCTTCTTATTCTTTCCTAAGAAAAATAAGCCATCCACGGTCAATAAATTTCTTTAAAATATTCTTCCAAACACTTTTTCTTAACAGACTGTAAAATAAACAGGCTTGGGATAAGTTTAAAATAAATTAACCATGTGTAGATATTAGATCTGAAGCAAATTGAAGAACACATGCCCAGAATTCTATCAATGAAAACTTCAGGTGTATTTTATCCTATTTGAGAAAGATCTACCTAAACACTGAGGACCAGAGGCAAAAACAAAACAAAACAAAACAAAATACAAAACAGAAAACAAAAAAGAACCCCCCAAACTGAAAGAAAAACACCAAACCACACAAAAACAAAACAAAGCAAAACAAATACCCCAAAAAACAAAAACAAGACAACCCCCCAAAAAACCACAAAACCAAAACCCCAAAACAAACAAACAAATACCACATAAACTTAAGATATCACTGACCCTTGATTTAAAACCTCTGCTATATTGTATCACAATTCCATTGTGAGACCAAGAGTTGGGGCTATAGGGCATAATAACCTTTTCTAATATATCAGGTAGTGGGCTTGTCTTGAAACCTCCCTTCTTGAATCAAAACTTTGTGAAATGTCTTCTGTGATGAATGTTGGAAAAAATCATAGGTAACATTCCTTTTGTACTGCATTTGGGATCATGTAACTAAACTTTCCATAGTGTCACATGGATGAGTCATAAGAAGCCAGATTCACAAGTGGAGGTGGCATACAATAGCAATCTTTAAATGGGATTTCAGGTTCAGGAATTTCTAGATCTCTAAAGCATCACTCGCTCCAAAGGACCTGGCTAGGGACATGGCTGCTTCTACTGCATCTGAACAAGTCAATTGCAAACAGATTTACCAAGAGATTATGTGCACGAAAAAATCTATATTTCCTAGGAGATAATAACGACAGTGTGCATGGTACCCTCTTTCATTCACTGGTGACAGATCAAGACTTGCACTTACTGGGAACCTATACAAACGTAGACCTGGGGTGAAAGACACCTGGATTCTTCTATGCCTTTTCCGGTCTCTCCCCTCTACCTAAACACAGAAGAGCTGCTGATCCTTAGAATATATTCTCCCTCACAGAGATCTGCCTGAGTCTCCATGGAGTCTCTCAAGTCTCCCCACCAAGATAGCTTCCCATTTTGCCTTGGCACAGGCAGGGCCTCACCTGTAGTGACTGATGTTGCCTTAGTCCACTCCACAAACTCAACTCTTCAGAGGTTGCTGTGGTCGTGAGGTCTGATCAGCAGCGCCTCACTCAGACTTTAAATCCTAAGTATGTGGAGAGATGGCCCCATCCCTCAGTCCTGCCCTTCTTCTGATTGGCTGTGTTGGTGGCTGGATTAGGCCTCCAGGCACTGGGACTTCAGGCTTTTTCTGAGATATGACTTCATTCTGACGCCAGAAGGTTGAGCTTTACGCTGGAAAGATGACCCTGTTGACAGTGGGGAGCTAAATTTGTTGACCTTGTCAAAGGAAGTTAGATAGCAATCCTGTAGGTCTTGGATCACATTATATCTGGCCTTCTGTTTCCTGATTGTATTAACTAGAAGAGATTTGTGGTGTTGTACACTTGCAGTCTAGAATGAGAAGTTTTAGTCACCATCTCTGGTGTGGAGTCAATATATTCTATTTTGTGTTTAGTCCACATCTATAGTTGGATCCTATGAGAACACTGACCCCTGTTCTCCTGTGTCAGCATGTAACACAGCTGGATCTCACGAGATTCTTTGGGAGTCAGTGACTCCCAAAGTGGAAAGTGATGTTTAAAGCTTATCCATAATAGGAACTATGAATGAGTGGGCTATGAAGGGATCTCATGAAACTCTCTAGCTCTTCTCTTGGAGATTAAATTGAACTGCAATCTAGAATCACCATTTTACCTATCACTCTTCATTGTGGCAACACACAACTGGTAATGTCTATATTTACCATTTTTTGAGACACATTTTGGTGTCCATAGGGGCCCATGTGTTAGCACCACGGAGAGACATTTAGAAGGATTTTCTTTACAAGGTAGCTTTGGGCAGTAATCTAAAAGTAATCCTCTACTCTACCTTCTCCCTTAGCACCCACACTTCCTTTTACTCTTGGTAGATATTTGGCTACTGCTTTGGGTTGAGTGATTTTCCTTACAAGAGTCCTGATGAAACATAGTTTCCATTGCAGCAGTATTAAAAAGTGGAACAATTAAGAAATTTATTATCTTATAATAATGGCTTACATTTTTTCAGTTCCTATTATATCACATGGCACAGAGACACCACATTTGATTATTGCGTGTGGTGGCTTCCTTAGATCAGAGAAGAAATTTATGGTATTTATCGACCCAATATCATATACTACCTAAAAAATGGCTAGATATTGGGGATATAGTGAAAGATAAGTATTTTAGGTTCATGTAAGATTTCTAGAGAAATTAAAACATCAAGAGTCTGCAGCTCTTACTGTATTTCACACAGTCCGCAATGCTCTGTTTATCTTCTGCTTGTTTCACACTTCAGACTTTCAACTTATTTTTTTAATTTATTCTTTGTAAATATCATGCAGTGTAATTTTATCATATTCTTTCTCTTCCCCTAACTCATCTTAGATCCCTTTTCTCTACCTACCAGTGTGATTTCATGCTCTTTCTTCTCACCTGCTAAAAGGAAAAAAAAAGCCACTAAAACATAGTATCTGTTTTATGTTGGCCAGCTATTCTTGAGCATACAGACTGCCTTAGACCATGTGTGACATACCCAGTGTTACACCATTGGAGAAATCTGATATTCTTTCTTCAAGCAGCTATTATTTGTGAATAGCTTCTTGACTAGTGTGTCTTAATCAGGGTTTCTATTCCTGCACAAAACATCATGACTAAGAATCAAGTTGAGGAGGAAAGGGTTTATTCAGCTTACACTTCCACATTGCTGTTGACCACCAAAGGAAGTCAGGACTGGAGTTCAAGCAGTTCAGGAAGCAGGAGCTGATGCAGAGGCCATGGAGGGATGTTACTTACTGGCTTGCGTCCCCTGCCTTGCTCAGCTTGCTTTCTTATAGAACCCAAGACTACCAGTCCAGGAATGGCATCGCTCATAATGGGCCCTCTCCCCCGATCACTAATTGAGAAAATGCCTTACAACTGGATCTCAGGAAGGCATTTCCTCAACTGAAACTCCCTTCTCTGTGGTAACTCCAGCCTGTGTCAAGTTGACACACAAAACCAGCCAGTACACTAGTGGTAGGGCTTTCTGCACATTTCCTTTCCTTCATGCTGGGATTTGTCTGGGTGATTGCTGTAGGTTTTAGTTCAATGCTGTGGCAGTCACTGAAGTATGCCCTAGACCCTAGGACTATCCCGATTCCCAGTGAAGTTTGAAAACTGCTGTCATGGAGTTTTAAGATGACAGGAGGAGTGTAAACTGCCTAGAACAAGACAGGGCATCTCCGTGTTACTCATCTTATGTTCCCTTTGAACACAAGTCAACATGTCAGGGACAATTTTCACAAATGCTATGATTTCCATGACTGCCAGGTCCTTACAAATGGGGATGACTTCTTCCTGGAGCAACCCCATGACAGTACTTATGTACCTTCATGTCTCATCACAAATCACTTCATCTCATTTTCCACTGATCATAACAAGACTCCAAGAGTGATTTTCTCTAAGCATTTTTTGAGAAAATAACAATCCATAAGGTAAGATACAGATTATGGAAATGGACAATGGATAACTATGGAGAATAAATATGAGATATCTTTAGAATTAATGAAATATTGTGCAACCAGGTATCATCGATGTATATCAAATATGCACTGATTTTAGATAAAGGCCAATTCTCCTTTCTGCATAGAGGGAAGTCTTTGCCATTTCCATGGTTCTGAGGCACTGGGGTTATTGACATGGCCATGGCCATTTCAACAGCATATATTCAGTCAGAATTTTGTTCACTCTCTACAGAGTTTATTCTAGTAAGTATGATTTGAATAGGCTTAGACCCACAGGTATTGTTTTTATGTTTCTTATTCATATAAAAAATTTAAAAGGCTACCTTACCTGTGGAAGTCTATTATTTTCTTATTTCTGGTAAAACATCAAGTACAGCATCATCTTAATGGGTGATGTTCTGACAGCATTTATAAGGCATAATCAACTATGAAAATGATGTTAACCATGATGCCCAGAGAAGTAATTTTGATGATAGGACCAAAGCACAACAGTAGCATAGTGTCTTTCTCAATGAGATAATGGTTCCCACCTCAATGGAGACTTTCTCAGCAGGGCTTATCAAAATTTCCCATTAGAATGCTAATGGTGTCTCTGAACACAGACAGAGGGAAACCATTGATGCTCTACATTAATTATTTATGTGATAGACAGGCCTTTCATTTGGTACAGTTACCTGTAAATCTGACCCAAATATGAAAAATTCTGGAAATAAATGGTAAAAAAAGAAGCCTCAGTGTGAGAATGTAAACACACAATTTCTTAATATCAGAGTTTATAACTGATTGATACTAGTTTTGTAATAGGAACCAACTGAAAAATAAAAGGAGATAAATGGGAAGAACACAAAATAGGAAACAGAGAAAGAGGCTGAATGTGTCAACTTGCACTTTAAAAAACATGTCCTCTCCAGGAGTGGGGTCCAGGAACTGGAATTAAATTCTGGTGTACCTGACCTCCAAATCTTCTCTTTGACATATCAGTAAAATAAGTATTGCCAGCAAGTACTATTCAAAATACAACTTATGTTTCCTCTGCTTCTTTCCTGGGAATTAGCGTAAAGACTACCAACTAATCTCTGCCATGGTGGCTGTCTTTTAAGGATTCCTTGCTCACATCTTGATCATGTTCTTGGCTCTGCATCATAGCTTTCTGTAAATTGTTTAAATTGTTTTCAATTCTTCAACATGATTTTTTTTCTCATATGTTACCTAGGGCCTATAAAAACTGGGTAGAAAAAAAATGCTTACCCTGTTTTCTCAGGGTCTGAGACACCTGCGGTCTTCACCACCTTCAATACCGTTGAGTTTCTCAGAAATGGGTGGGATTCACATGCATATATATGTCTATCTTTTCTGTGTCCAGAAGCAGCTTGTCACAACTCTGTAACATCAGGTAGGCCAGTTAAATTTTATTATGACAACCACCTTTTATAGACACGTATGAAGAACTGTGTTCACTGAGAAGGAGGAAATAACAGAAAGTCCTTCTTGCTCTTCATCTGTAGAAGCTTTTCACGGTAAAGCACACAAACCTTCAACTAAGCATAGAAGACTGAGTTTACACTTAGTCTTAATTTGCTTGGTGACCTCTCTAAAGACATCTGCTCTTCATTTCTCCCTTCTAAATGTATTGACCCATTCTTCAATCTCTAACATATACCTCTAAGACCCTCCTTTGGCAGAATATGTGATCTGTGAGAGGAAAATTGTCAGAATGCACAAAGACGCCAGAGTGATTTTGCATTAGGCAATTACAGTGAACTCTAGTTTGAAAGACTCTGTGTTCCACTGACCAATGACTCTGGACCTTGGGTCAGGTACTCTCTGAGCATAAAGAGATAGATACAATCAGCCGGAAAGAGTGAGTCAACAGGAATAGAAGCCTTGGGCCAAAACAGTTCCCCTTTCCTGTGTCACATCAACCTATGTGACCTCTGATAGACAGAAGGCTCTATATCCTCTTTCTCCCTCGTTATCTCTCCCCCTCTCAGACTTCCAATTCTATATCTTCCTTATTGAATTGGTATTTAGTTGTTTAAAACCAGAAAAATAATTCTGCTGAGATATGCCCTCAATATGATATTAGTTCACAATAAGGCACAAGGAACATGCATTCTAAAACCCTGATGAGGCTTCATGAACACATCACAGCCTTGGATGTCTCATTGCTGCTCTGAATCCCTGGCCACAAGGAGCCAGATACTTCACCTGTAAGAGCCAATAAGTTGTTATTAACACCAGAAATAACTTCCAGGAACCAAAAATCACTTTGTCCTTAATGTGGGTAATTTTCATGAAGTATTATTGTGCATGGGCATAAAGGTTGTAAGGCACTAGGAAATTAATATGCTCACAAATGACTTGTCTTTGGAATATATTCAGTACATTCACATAAAAATTTCTTATAATATCATGCTAATATAAAAGTTAAAAGATATCTCATGAAGTGAGAAACAGTACTTATACAGAAAAGACTGCTGATGGATTCTACTGGGGAATTTTCTCCAAGGAGAATGCTTTGGAAGTTTGC